CGGGGCCATGTTCCACTGCATCCCGCTGTGGCGGTGCAACCGTCATGTGGAGGCCATCGACAAGCGGCACTGCTCGCTGGCCGCCGTGCCCGACGACATCTACCGCTACAGCCGCAGTCTGGAGGAGCTGCTGCTGGACGCCAACCAGCTCCGCGAGCTGCCCAAGGTGAGCCCGGCCCGGCCCCGCTCCCCTCCCCGGCAGGTGCCGGCCCCGGGGCCGCGTGCCCCTGCCCGGCTGCCTGCGACGTGCCGGACCCCTCCTCGGGGCAGCCTGCGCGGCGGCGCCCCCCAAACACCCCCGCTGGGGGCAGCGCCCGCTGCGCCGCCGCTTGCCTGGTACGGTGCTTGGAGAGCCCTGGAGGTAGCGATCCCGGCCGTGTTGTAGATCCCTGGAGCGAGTTAGACAGCTCTGGAGTTATACGTCCTTGGAGTGAGCTTTGAAGCTGGAGATCCCTGGCGTAAGTTGGAGATCCCTGGCATTACAGATCCCAACTAGCCGGAAATCTCTGGCATTATAGATCCTTGGTGTGGTTATAGAGCTCTGGAGTTGGAGATATCTCTAGTTATAGCTCCCTGGAGTGAGTTATAGAGCTCTGAAGCTGGCGGTCCCTGGCATAGATCCTCTGGAGTTGGAGATCCCTGAGGTTGGGCTCTATAATGTCAACGATCTGCAGCTCCAAAGGATCTCTGGGATTGGAGATCTCTGGCATTATAGACCCCTGGAGTGAGTTAGTTCTGGAGTTGGAGATCCCTGGAAGGAGTTGGAGAGCTCTGGGATTATAGATCCCTGGAGTTAGCTGGATATTCCCGGAGCTGGAGAGCTCTGGAGTGAATTAGAGATCCTTGGAGCTCAAGATCCATGGAGTTTTGTCCAGGTGTAAGTTGTCTGCTTTCTCTGGCTTCCTCTGGAAGCCTTCTGCTGTGCCAGTCAGCCGTCAGGATCGAGGCAACACGCTCGACCTCGACTGTCACCGCTCCCAAAGATACATGCTGAGAACTCAGCAGCTGGGAGGGCAGCAATGTGCACGTTGTGGTCGTCAGCTGAAAAATACCAAAATCCTTTGAAACAAAGAAGACCCCCCCCCCCCGAAAGAAAAAAAGAAGCATAGAGTTGTCTTATGTGGGTGAAACAGGAGCAGGGTGTCACAATGAAAGGTCCTTAATGATTCATCATTCAATTGAACCTACTGTACCCGCCTGTCTGATTAGTTAAGGGACACTGCCAAGATATTTTTTTTTCCAAGAGAGATACAGAGAGAGACAGAGACACAGAGAGTGTTTTCCAATGATCAAGGTAGAACCCCTGCTGTGGGAGGGAGAGGTCAGAGGTCTGTAGTTCCCTGATGTCACTGTTAATCACCCCATGTGTTCACACCTAAGTCAAAGAAACACTCAAGCGAATTAAAAAAAGATCTGTCGTTTTTATAGCTAAGTAAAGCCTTTTCTGGACTGAGGGGGAAAAATCCTTCTCTATCAATGAGATTTTCCTTTTTCCTTTCTGCATTGGGAAACTGAAATATAGCTGTCTCCAATGTTTTACATACTATAGATATAGTACAAGCTCTGCAAAGTCACCTGAGTTGGGCAGCTTTTCTGGAGGAATATTCACTGGAATCTTACGTGCAGGCTGCTGTTGACATACTGTAGTCCAAGTCTGATTCATAACAGGTCAAGGCTTACTAGTAATCAAAAATCTTATGCCACTCTGAATGAGTTATTCTATCAGGTGCCAAACCGCCCTGTCTTATGCCTACAAATCAGTTTCGAAACAAGTAGGTGTTGCCACTACCAAGAGTAGTAAAGGTGCATTATTCTTAAATACTTAAAGCTCTGATCCCAAGTAATTGAAAAGAACAGTTGTCTAGCTGGAACGGCTTTCTTTAAAATGCCGGGGTGGGGGGCTTATTTACTTTTTCACTTGATAAACTGGTGATTTTACAAACATTCCATTGTATAAACTTTGTATACCTGCAAAACGCTTGTGAAGTGTAGTCTTCAAAACATGACACTGAAAGTGAAGCAGCCTTAACTAAAACTAAATATAGGGGGCAGGTGAACTTTTCTGAACTTGCAATTTTGAACCTATGTATGAGTCTCACGGGTTGTAGCTGAACAGATAAGCCAGAAAAGAATTTACAAGTGTCAGTGTTTTTTGTTGAATCAGGGTGATTCTGTTCATTCTCTAAAACTTAAAATCATGTGGGGGGTTTTTTTTACCAGCTTTCTTACAAGAGTGTTTGACTCTTTATTATGAACAATAATTATGGAATGCATTCTGAGACTGGAAAAGACGTTTAATAAAAAGGAATGGCTTCTTGAGCTAAGCAGCATCTTTTGAAATACCTGAAATAACAGGTTTTGAATCTTGGTGGAGCTGATTAGAATTTCATTCTTCTGAGGCAGACAGATCTGGTTTTGCACAACTTTGTTTATAAGGGCTTCCTGGTGTGACCCTTGGTGTGGCTGGCTGCCTCTAGATTTTTTCTGAGGGAAATGAATCTGTTTTTGTACAATTTGTGCATGTATTGTTGCAGGTGTGACACTTTTGAAGATTCTCTTTTGTTCTTTGAGCCATATTTTTCATAAGAGGAAATTAAAGCTGACCAAAATGCCTTCTTCCTTGTTGTGCAGCGTATTGCACTCCTTTACTTACTGTTTTGGTTTTTTTTGTTCTCAGACACAGCCTTATAACAGGTATGAGTGTGCTTTATAAATTCCTTTGCGACTAGAGCTCTGTGTAAACATAAGAGTTGGCTGATTTAAATGACAGATGCAAACTTATCCATGCTGTTTCCACAGACGTTTTCTTTCATCAGCAGTACTCTTGATATCTGCTTGGTGACTTGTACAGTAGTTTTTTCCATCTGCCCAACTAGAATCTGTTCCCTGTGAGATCGTCTGCCTGCCTAACGATGGTATAGAAATTAGTCTCTTCTCAGGGTACAGGAAGTTCTACAGATATGAAGAGGTGTCTTGGGATTGCAGTAGAAATAAGCAAGAATCTAAGTGTAAAAATAAGTTCTTAGCAGATAAAAAAGTAAATTAAGAATTCTTGCAATTTGGCAGGAAACTGATGTGTGGGTTTTTATATGTATTGATGGTTCAACACACAATTTGATTATGAAAACATGTCTGTAGTGACATTTATCCTGATGCTTCATGTCTTGCCAATACCATATGAAGATACTTCATTAGAGTTTTTAGAAGGGTGCTGTACTATGACCATTCTTCCTCTATTCCGCAATGTCATTTCGTTAATCTATGAAAAATGGGTGTGTGTGTTTTTTGGATATTCTAGCAAAAATGAAAAAAGGAAACAGATGTGCTATGGCACTCTCCTAATCTATTGAAACTGGGGTCAGAACGTCCTTCTCTAAAATTTCCATTACATCAAAAGCTTTTAAAATGTTGCCATTGTAGTAAAACTGGCCTTATTAAGAATAATAATGTGCAACTTTGCCAGTCCTGGGTTGATGTGCTTTTAATATTAAGAGGATAATGTTGCTGCATTCTGTAAAGTGAAGGTACAGAATTGGGAAGGGGTATAATAAGGATCAAATCACAGTGTTGTGAAACAGAAGATGCCGTTGATATCATTGGGAGAGCTGTTTTTATGAACTGGTAAAACAGTAGTTCTGAACAGTCCCATTTTTGTATTAAGGGCACAATATAACATAACATCTCACATTGTGCCCCTACATCTATTTAAAAAAAGCGTGAAAAACAAAGAGCACTTGGATAAGCTTTTAGAGATATTCTTAGACTAAATTTGGAAATTCCCTTACTTGGTTCTTGGTACATTACCACTATTATGGTTATGGAAAAGCCAGGGAAAATGAGAGTCTTGCATTATGCCATGAAGTTCTTAATAGCCTGTTCTCCAGCAAATGGATTGATTGTAGGCCACAGAGTATACTGTTGCTGTAAGTTATTCCACAACATTATAAAGCATTTGTGTCTTGGTTAGGGATTTGGCACTTGGGGTCAGTTAAAGGGATTATTTAGACTGTTCTTGAGGAAAGAAGAATATTACATACTTTATAGAAATATTTTGATTGTTCTGCATATAGTTAGTCTTTGAGTAGAGTTAAGAAGTTGTGCTTCTGTAGAAGGATTGTACAGTACATTACTTGCTCATTGTAAGCGGGCAAAGTCTATCCCTTTTTTCTTGGTTTCTGACTGATGTATATGATTGATGTTCATTTGCTTTGTGGGAAGGACTACAGAAACAATTGAAGCTAGAGAGAAGACCCTTGTGGCAGAGTAATACAGGATTAGGGTCAAGCCCACATGGATTTCTATTCCTAACATTGTCACTGCTTTGGGTACTTCACCTCTCTGCATATCTGTGTCCCCTTTCACTTGCTGTCTCTGTGAAGTTGTTGGGTGTACATTCCTTATTATTGTGTTTACTTAGTGGTGCTCTGTTCTTGGTTTGGCCTCTGAAGTGCTGTTGTCATACTATGAAAACAAGGGTGTAGGGTGGTGGGGGGTCAGACCTTCTGGCAGGTATGTCAAGGCTAGGCTCTATGCACTCCTGGAGTGCCCTTCCAATCCCCTTCTGTTGTTCCATCTGCTACGGCTTTCTGCTTCCTGCCTGATCTATGGTATGCCACATGCAGAGGCTGCCCCATGTCACTTGTGGCACGTGGGGCTTGGTCAAAAGTGCGTCACAACGGCTCACAGGCTGCATTCAGCTGCCACTCCCTTCATTGCTCTATCTGCAACAGTAGCAGCTAGGGCAGGGGTCAGCAGCCCCTGGCATGTGTGCCGAGCATGGCACGCAAGGCCATTTTGCTCAGCACAGCACCGCCAGCCACAGAGCCCAGGCTGCTCCCACCAGGTGGCTGGGAGGCTGCAAGCCCTGCTGCAAGCAGACCCCGGGCTCCATGGGCCGGCTGCAGCCTGGAGGCTGCAAACAGCTGCTCCAGGCTCTGACATGTCGGCACTCTGGCACCTTCCAAGGTAGACATTGTGGTTTTTTAGCACTCCAGCCAAAAAACATTGCCTACCCCTGAGCTAGGGGCTTCAGGCTCCCCCTGCCTCTAGCTTCTGCTTCCTGCCTGGCCCCATGGGTCAGGGCAGAGCAGGTTGGCACAGCCAGCTGTGTTGGGTAAGCACATGAGGTGGATTGTTGGTGCAGCAGAAGAGCCTGAGCCCAGAGAA